TTTTATAAAAATAACTAAAAATACCAACTAGCTTAAAGGGTGGAATGAAATGACTTTTGGGTCCTTCAAATGTCTTTGTTGAATTTAGAAATTTTTTAAACCACAAAAAAAATATTTGTAGGACAACTTGTTGCTTAACAAATGTACTCTAGGAATCCTATATATATACATATGATATATATATATATATATATGTATTTATATAATTATGTATTACCACTTACAAGTATTAAGGAATGGCTAGCTTCTCGTAGAATTAGAGTTTCCATTATGAATGTATCATGTACATTTTCAACTCTCGAATTATGGATCATACCCATATTGACACGTGGAGCACGTAATCAATGGAATCTAAGTAGTCGTAAGAATGATTTAACTTACAATAATGTGGAATTATTAACATTAATATTATTTATTCTTTCAAGTATTAAATACATATGATGTGGTTATAAGACTTGTTTTGTTCATAAAAAAATAATGAAGTTTCATTCGATTTTTTAAACAAAGATTTAGTCAACATTATGTAATTTATATATAATGACGTCTTTTTTTAATAAAATTTAAAAAATAATAGAAATTTTAATAAAATACAATTTTTTAATTAATAAAATTTATAATTTTTTATATAATTAATTAACTACGATAATCTATATTGTTAACATACTTGAAACTATATAATTCTATATTAAATAGACGGTTCACATTCAAATTTTAAAAAGATATTAATAATATGACTAAAATTTTGAACCAAACCCGAATAAGATTATGTTTAGTATAATTAAGTTTTATACTATGAAGTACATGTTACTTAAGATAAAGTGCCCAACTTTCATCATAAGTAAGCAAAATTCAACCTTAATCACCCGAAATAATTAATTTTTATAATAATTGTCGTAACAATTTTAAATAAATTATCTCTAATTTACTTTGAGAGTTTAGTGTGTGTATATATATGTGTGTGTGTGTGTGTACCAAACAAAAACTTTGTTAGATGGAAGATGTTATCAAGTCAACCCACATCCTGATTATTTTGATATGATTTATTTAGTGTAGCACCCGGAAAGGAGGAAAAAAAAAAAAAAAAAAAAAAAAAAAAGGGGGGGGGGGGGGCCCCTTCTGCACCCACTTCTGCTGGCCCGGTCAGCATTCCCGGCAAACCGGGGCCTGCCACGGGGCAAAACCGCGTCCTTCCAAAGGGAGCCACTTTGGCAATCTGCGTGGGTGCAATCCGACGGCCCAAATCAATCGCGCGATCGGACGGCCCAAATTCAATCCCACGGACGGCCCAGATTCAATCAAAACAACCGGCCCAAATTAAAAGAAAATGAACGGCTGTGATCAAAAGGAAAGGGGTTATAATAAAACCCCCACACCAAACCAAAACCCTAGCCGCCCGCCGCTCGCCGGAGAAGACGAACCAGAGGCCGACTGCCGCCACCCGCCGCCGCACTGGGGAAATTTCCGACCGCCGATCGAGGTAAATTTCATATCCCCGACTCGTTTTTCTCCGCTGATTCCTCCTATGGCCAAATTGAGGCTGAAATCCCGGCCAAACGGCCGGAATACGCGGCCGAAACCCAGCGGCGCCGCCGCGCCCCTCTCGGTTTTTGCCTCCGACGAGGTCCTTCCCGGCCTCCGTTCGATGCAATTTTTATATCACCGTGATCACCATTCTTTTCTCTACAGGTTGACCGAAGCCGAATCACCAAAACACGAACCTCGCCGGAGAGCTGCCGTACCCGAGAGCGCCGCCGCCGGTAAGCTCTGCTTTTCCGTGATTTTTGGCCCCCCCGGGGGCCCTAGGGTTGTTTTCTGACAAGGACCAATGCGAGTGTGGTCGAATTCGGCCGAAAACGGCCGAAAACAGCCAACCCGAGGCGACTCGCCGCCCCCAGCGGCGGCGCCGTCGCCGGAGCACGGCGGAGCCGCCGTGCCGGAGTTGCGATTTGGTCCGAAAGGGGCCCTGGGCCTAATTTGGATTTTTTTGGAACACGTGCAGGTACTGTTAGTGTGTTTCAGTTCCCCGGGAAAAATTCAGGGAAAATTAGGGACGGCCTGCAGGCGCACTGTGAATCGTATTCGGATCCCGAAAACAAGTAAGGACCCCTCACCCTATTTCCTATCACGGTATTAAAGTTCAAAATGATAAAACGGTATTTCTTGAATTAACGCATGTGTGAAATTGCTTAAGGTTGCTAATGGAGCCCGAGTCTAGTGTGATTGATGATTTACTGTTATTTGGCCTGTTTTACAGCTTTAAATGCATTATGGGGTTTGATGTGTTCATTTTATAGTTTCGAATGCATATATTACTGTTTTATTAATTATGGGTTGAATGACTGAAGAACTGATACTGTATGTTGTCTGTTCGGCATGAATTACGATTTGCTTGTTTAAATGTGAATTGATGATGCTTATTGAGGAAAAAGGGAAATGAAACATTGTATAGACTGATAATTGTATGATGGGGTCAGCCTGACTAGATATCCTGGGAGATGGTGGACGGACCGGGTCCGTAGGGAACCCTACCGAGATTGTGGTCTCACATGCCGGACGGGGTATGGGGATCTTATGGTTTTGGCGCCCATACCGGACGGGGTATGGGGACGGCCCGTTTCACCCTCATACCGGACGGGGTATTGAGGTTTATGGTTTTGGCGCCCATACCGGACGGGGTATGGGGACGGCCCTGGAAACTGATTATGAATGTTAAAGGTTAACGGGTAGCGGGACCGCTAGGAACCCCCATGGATACTAGTAGGCTGGTAAATGAGAAAAAGATATGTTGTATAATGATCGAATTACAAAATGCGTGATAAGTGCTATGTTGTACAGCTTATATTATTCCATGATTGTGATAATGTTATTATTTTTCTTATATTGTTTTCATAAATTCCACCGAGGTAAGTGGATGGTAAAGGTTTTCATGTTAATAAACGAGTTTATTG